GCAATTTACATTTTTACAAGAGAACGTTTGTGCGGATCTCTTTGGAAATTTTAAGGTATTTTCTTCGCACTAGGAAACAGATTCACTGAAATTTGCACAAAAATCCGGAAAACAGTTTTTAAATAAATAAAACAATAAATTGACCGATTAGATGCGGCAATAGCTGATGTGGCTTGGTTCCTTTTTGCATAACTTAGCCCGATTCTCGCTAATGCTCATTGCGGACAATTGTTTAGAATTCTGAAAAAAAACTTTCCCTTCCTATCAGATAGATGACTGCGTGAGTAAGGGTTCGGAATAATTCAGTTGTGATCCCGAGTCTCTTCTTCTGGGATGATTTGGCTCCTGCTGGAGAAAGGTGAAGGAGACGTCCTGTGAGGGGATGGCGGCAGAACGTCAACGAAGATATCTTGAGATTTTAGTTACCAAATGACTTTTAGGAAGTCAGATGTATGTGGCGTTTGGATGTCGCAGCGCGCCAGAGTGCACTGTCGGAGACGCCTGTATGTATGCATGTCGCGGGTCTCGGAATACTATAGAATGCATATCGAGGGCTATGGATCAATACCGCCGAGAACTTACAATTTTGGCCAAAATGAGCAAGCGACTTTTCTGCATTTCACAGTTAAGTAAGCAAGCTGATAAATTTTAGTTTCCTCCGATTCCGCATGGGAGCGCGATAATGACGCTAAAATGTACAGAAAAATTCCAAATCTAGCCATCAAATCACGAAAATGGAGAATTTTTTCCATCCTCCTGCAAAATTATCGGTTTGCAGATAGGCGGTATTGTCCCTTGGCCATCGATAAAGACTTTTTTAGAATACTCTTGCCGCGGGCTGATTGTTGAAATTGGTAGACAAAGCTACAGACAAAGAAGGCAATAGAGATATGGAGGAATCCTATTGGTGGAAGCAGGTGCTTGCAATGGACAAAGGAGGTACGTAAAATACAAACTATTAGCAACCCACAAGGGACTCTTTAGTTAGTCCATCACTTTCTCCCTTAGTCTATGGGAACCACCCATTCCAACCAATAAGATCGTTCCACGTTTCCTATAGCATCTTTGTCCATCGCTTCATCTATCGCTTTGTCCATAGCGTTGTCTATAATTTCAACAATCAGCCAGCAGGTATCGTGGCAAGAACCAATAGACTATGTTAATTCTGATGGATCAATATTGGTATCCAGGATCGGACGTTGCGTATTGGTTTATGCCTCTTGGAGCGCACGTTTCACACGCAGGTAGACACAGCACCGGTTGAATTTCGTCGCCTCCTGACGTAAGAGCGTAACTCACTTTCCACGTGGCCCTGTTCCCGTATATGAGTCCATGCTTCCGGGGCTCATGAGTAAATAAAGATACGTTCTTACGTCATCGGATGAGGTCTGTGCGATTAGATGAATGGTCGGAGAACAAAGTGCCGAAGCCTCCCGCCTCATCGGCGCGGTGCACTCACTGCACTCGCGAGTGGCGATGAGTCAGCAAGTGCAAAATGGCATGTGAGTGTGAAACGCCGAGCGGTAAACTCCCCTCTGATAACGCTGCATAGGAAAGCGGAAACGCAAACGTAAACTGACCCAATCTTCGACGTTGCCAGGATCCCGAGTCATCAAACGACTCTACATCATTAGATAATACCGACGTTCTGGCGTATCATTTAAAAGGCTTGAAGCGCGGGCGTCACCTGAGGGGAATATAACCGTATTCTTCCAGGACTCGGATTTGAAGATAAATGGATGCAAATCGTGGATAGAGGGAATAAGGTAGGAAATGAGGAGATGCGATCTGCCGGAGGAGCTCTGGCAGGATCGCTATCAGAGGCGGTTGGGAGTCGCAGAGCGCACAGAAGCGCTATAAGAGCGACTTGTTAGTAGGATGTAAAACCTGAGGGCCGATTATTGAAATTGATAGACATAGCTATAGACAAAGAAGAGAGATGGGATATGGAGGGGTCCTGTTGGTGGAAGTGTGTGGTTGCGATGGACAAAGGAGGTAGGTAATAGATTCTTTAATGGTAACCCACGAGAGACCCTATAGTTAGTCCATCATTTTCTCCCTCAGTCAATTAGGAGCCACACATTTCAACCAATAGGATCGCTTCATACTCCCTATGTCTTCTTCGTCTATCGCTTTGTCTATCAAATTCAATAATCAGCCCGCTGAGGGCAAAGCTCGAAACACGAAAACTCTGAGGAGTTTATGGTGATAAGCTGATTACACACGTAGAAACCCTGTCCCCTAAGAAGATGCGACAGAGCGCTAGCACCTCATTCCTTGGTTCGAATAAAATGATAGATTTTTTAGAAATTTGAAGTCTGGTGACTTCATGTGCTTCAATACTTTTCAAATAGCTTTGAGGAAAATAATTCTGTAAGATACTTAGGATCGCATTTTCAAGGATTCAAGTAGATTTATTTTAAAATTAAATCGCGGGATACGCCCGGTAGGAACTAGTTACTTTTTCACTTTAAAAAGAAAATCAACACTCAGACTTAGAACGTGGCATCAGTGGGTCTAGGCGAAGATCATCTCATCATTGTTTCATTAACACCAGAGCTACGGTAAAAGTGCGGAACTCGGGTCTGGGCGGGTCCAGTCCGCGATGCGTTTAATGGACAGGCAATCAAAAACGGACTTGGACAATCATCATAAGTTGCTTTCATTTACTCATGCCCATTGAGAGCATTTCTAGAGGAATTCTTGCAAAAAGAAATGCACGGAGCATTATTTGACGTTTGCATTTCCCCCGGCTAGCAACTGTCATGATTCGAAAGTGAAGGATCCAGAGAGTACACTTTAAATATTGAACTAATTGGGTTGAAAGAGACTGCCCATAGTCAGTTTTCAAGATTATGAGAGACGTATATTGTGCTACTTTTCTTCTAGTGCTGAAATTGCTAAAAATTAAATACATGCTTCTCATTAGAATCATAAAAGTTTAATGCAAAAGCTCAAATTTTTGCTGTTAGAAGCTTATCAATAATATCAAAATTCATTTTTGAATGACCTAAATTGAGCGAAAATTACGTTATGAAGGTTGCTTTAACAAAATATGTAGCTGACAACATGGATAATAATAAAACTTGTAAAAATCAAGCCTCTTGATGGATATTGCACATTGGTTTATCTTTCTTATCCTTGCGTTTGTTAGTGTGCAGCAGTTCCTCACATCTTCTCACGACTAAAAGCCGTTGCGAAAGCCATTCGACTCTGTGACCCCCCTCCCCCTATGAGCCACCCTTAAGCCAACCTCTCGCCCCTATTTTTGTTTTACATAAGCCTGGCTTAATCACCTCCCCCTAATTTTACAAAAAAAAAAAAAAAAAAAAAAAAAAAAAAAAAAAAAATAATGGATGCGAAATTTCTAGCATTATTAAATGGAAATTATTATTTTTTATGAAAGTGAGAAGCTTACGGAGGCATCGGCCTCACCCTCCTTCCCCTTCGTCAAAAACTGTGCGGAAAGTTCAGTTTCCTTCCCATAGTGGCGTAAACGTAATTCATGAAACATGCTCGAAGTAATTTGTGTCTAATCATACAATTCCAAAAGAAGTCTCCTCACATACTCGCTGTTGATATTAAGTACGATTTTTTCAGTCGACTAGAAAACAAACGAACTAATGAAATCTGGAACAAGTTTTGGGGCACGTAATATCAACTAAAATGCATTGACATAGGAGCAAAAAGATAGCAATATGTTATTGAATAATACATATTTGTCTTCGGCCTTTACAACGAGAGAGTTTTTTTATATTCTACATTTAAATTGAACTTGAAAATGGTCCGCATTTTTGATCACTTTGAATTGGTTTTTACCTCAGTGAAAGTCTCACCTTTGGTACGAAAGTCAGATCGGCGGTCACTTGTTTCTACAACCGTGGAGATAAAACTGTTTAACATGCCCAAAATTATGCGGGAATGGAGAAAGAAAGGAACCGATAAGAAGAAAAAAATCGATGGTGAAAGTAAAAATTTACGTCGACGCGTTGTAATTTTTCTTATTTTTTTTTGTCTTTCAGAATAATCAGTGGATGATTCTTATTCATTCGGAGAATTAAATATTTTTACTCTAATTATTCAAGGTGGAGGAAGCTACGGTATGCGCTATCGCGGTGGATGACATCATTAGTCATGTTTTTCGAAGGGCGATATCCCCATTAATAATGGCCGTATGAATGAACTAAGCGTTCGGGCAGATCTATTAATTTTGGCTAAACTACAAGTTTAAACCACGAAAACGCAATTTCATAACCAGCACGAATGACCCATTGTGATGGGACCACTGGGGTCGAATATCGACAAAACTGCAAAAATGCATACTTCAGTTGCGATGTTTCGAAATTTCCGCTGCTGTTTTACTTTCTAACAGGAGACCGAACAAACAACATGGTTTGCTGTTTTCACAGAATATTTTATATAAAGAGAAGAAAAATCACTGAAATTGTCAAAAAATGAAGTTCATTGGTTTTCCATGTAGAAAATAAAGCATGACATGAAGTCTGCAACGGCGACACCATACAGTTTCACCATCGATACATAGGGTTGCCACAGAATTTAAAAGATGAAATGCCCTGACAATTCCCTGATTTCCCTGACACATTTTGGTGAAATTCCCTGACAATTGAAGATACGACCGATGGTTGAAAGGATACGATTGAAAATGGTTTTCAGGTAAAATTTGTTGTTCCAAACCTCAAACCCATTCTAGAAAGCAAATTAAGGTGATTTAAAAACTTTTCCCTGACATTTCCCGGTTTTCCCTGACTTTTAAAAATTCCCTTAAATTTCCCGGTATTCCCCGAATGTGGCAACCCTGGATATAGTACTCTCGCACATTTGGACGTATTTCTGTCAAATAAAACTATGTGCATTATGACGTGAGTCCTGTTATACATGTCTTCTCATGGGTCTCAGGGCTCATGTCTTAATGCACATAGTTCCGTTTGACAGAAATACGTCCATTTACCATTACAAATGGATAAAAATGTTAAACTCACCTCAGTAAATGCGTGTGTCTTGACTAAGCTCGGGACTGGAACGCTAAGTTCCTCGCTAGCGGTGGGTCCAGGGGGTGGTAGCGGACAAGGCGGCACGATGACGGGCCGCTTGGGTGTGGGTCGCCGAATCCCGCCGACGCACGGGATCTTATTCTGGGCCCACGGCGAGGGGGTCAGGATCCCGCCGGGGGTCTTCAAGCCGCGCGCCACGAACCTCTCCTTCCCCGGCGGCGAGATGACCGGCTCCGGTAGAGCCTCGGGGCGTGCCCACGGTCCATGGGGAGGCATCCACGGCCACTCCGGGGCTTTGCTCAAGTTGTACGGACCGCAGGCGGCCAAATTCCCGAAGTTGTAGTTGAGTTGACTGTGGAAGTAGTGGATCAGATGCTCCGGGGGACTTAACCTAGTATGGCAGCTCGGGGTGACTAGAATCTTTTCGTCGGGGCCCCCCGAAAGGGAGTTGAGGATGTGCTGATAGTTAACGTTACAGTGGAAAGCCGTCTGGTTCTCCGCTTCCGGTTTCACCTCGAAGTGCGGCGGTTTGGCGCTGGCTTCGATCCGCGAGAGGAACTGGTCGTAGCGCTCGAACTGGCCGCCACCCTCGAGGGAGCCCAGCTTCTGGGCGATCAGATAGCTCTCCTTCAGGACGTCTGTTTGTCCCTGGTCCTGAGTCTGCGGCAGGGGCGGTGGTTTCGTATCACAGTCAAAGTTCCGCTTCCACTGGGGGCACTCCCTCTCCGGGCTTTGCCATGCTCTTTTACTTCCGGTGGGGCTACCTCCAACCCAGCAGCTTCCGCTTATTTCCGGCCCTATTTCGGATTTGCTCCCGACCAGGAGGTTTTCTTTCTTGTCTTGCTCAACTCCGGGTTGAGTTCGGTCGTTTCTGGGCTCTGAGATTTTTGAATCTGACGCGCCAGAATGCCGGCCAAGGGTGATGGAGCGTTCGTAGAGATGCTGATCTATGAAGACGGAGATTTTGAGTTGGTGGGCGAGACTCATGAACGATTCGAGGCGCTTTTCCGGAAGTGTAACTTCGCCGCTGTACAGAAAGCAGAGCAGGGACTCCATGTCCTCTGCCTGCACGTCTTGCAGGATCACAGTTGCTTGTTTCTTCTTTCTGTGTATGAGGAGGATCTCCTGAAACAAACATAAAATCGAAGGCTTAGACTCTTGGAGAAGAAAAGGAACAAAAGGAGAACAATCTTAGAGTTTTCTACAGTTTAGCTCTTAATTCGATTTTACTCCGTAAGTATGCACGGCACCTCTGCGGGATGGGAAGAATCTAAGATTTATTTTCTCATTAAGGTGTACCGTGAAATGAGTTTTTTACGCTTACATTCAAAACTGTTCAGAATCGCTTAAGTGCACATCCCGCTTTGATCAACAAGTGTCATTAAGCGTGGGGAGTCAAAAAACAAAAAAACAAAAATAAAAATGAATTTACTTTAGTGTCAATGTCACGTTAGGGATTACTTCTTAAAGCGTATGAAATGGTTATTACTCAAATCAAATTTGAAATTTTCGTAGAATGCTCACAGTCCGCGAATAAATAACGAACAGAAGTTTGACAATCTGCTCGGAACATCAACAAAAATTCATTTCTATACAATAAAGAAATCAGGGCCTAGAATCCGCGATTCTCTTTTGGTAGGGTGGGATGAACGCGGTGGAAGCTATTGAATGGCAACCGACACTGTGAGGAAGACTGCGTATTTACTTAAGTCGCATAAATAATCAAAAAGCTAGCGGAAACTAGCGGTTAGTGTTTTTAACAACTTATTTAAATCATTATCAAAGCCAGATGGTGAATCGGAGAGAGGAAAATTATAGTCATCAGGGGCTGGCTAAGGCGGCTGGCCTCGTTATAGATTAAAACGGTCCACTTGTTGCTCCTCCACAGCCATCTATCATTTAAATTATGAGATAGGAGTGACCATCGCAGGAAAATGGACTCGCTTACTCGCGCCGTCTTGTCCTCTTTCTCACAAACCAGAAAGTTTTTGGTGATCATTTCCCTTCAAATCTATCTAGCTCTACATTTTCGCAATTTTCAGTCTTGGGAAATCGAATCGAAAAAAAGTAAGGGGCTAATTTTTCCTGTCATCATTAATCATCGTCGTTTTTACTAGAAAATGGCAAAAATCCTCTTGAAATGTTTTCATATAGAGGATTACGCATTTGCCTCCGTGTAAAAAAGAGGTATTTGAGAATAAAAACATGGGAAAAATAAATTTTCTCCTCGTGGTTTTCTCAAATTGATTATTTATTCAAGACTGATAATTTTAACCTATGCTAAAACTAATGTTCATTACGTAAGATCAATATTTTAATTCATTTCTATCATTAGTATCGTGTGTTTTTCTAAGTTTCCTAGGTTTTTTAGTTCCTCTTCTTCCGTTCGAAATTCAATAAAATTCGAGGTATATCTGAAAAGCCAGTTTTCGCCAGTATAAATTTGTAGCTACGACATGGGTCATAATTTTAGAGGGTCTTTCGTGGCGATCAGGTTATATCTATTTAATATCCATCTAATAGAGATATATAAATATAGAATCATATAAATTGAGAAAATTGTGTGTTATCAATTACAGAGCAGATTCCTATGAGTTTAAACTACCTCCAAATTTTTCAAGTTTAACGTTTTTTTTTTTTTTTTTTTTTTTTTTTTTTTTTTTATTGAGGTTTCTTGTGCTCTATCAACCGAGCTCGCTTCTCCAATTTTTCATTTTTCATTTCTCACAGTGTCTGCACGGCAAAATTCGCTTGAAATAAAATCAGTGTAGAAGTGTCGGTACGTGGGGGGGCTCCTCAGAAGTTATATTTTGACGGAATATTAGCCCATCAAATTATAGGTCGTATATTTGCAACCGCTCATTTTGCAAGACAATGATTTCCCCCTCACGCACGGCTTGACTGTCGAGTTGGGGGGCCATTCAACTTACTACTGGCTTCGAGCATATCCGCTGTGTACTGCTTATTAATTCCGAACCAACGAGAACTCTTTATTTTGTTCTCGCCCGCGGCACTTTTGCGTTTTTTGTATGAGTAATTGGAATGCAAGTTTGCGTTCTGAACGCACTTAAATGTATCGGCTGAACAACCAGATTTACAGCATACACTTTTACATACCTGTTCACCAATTATTTATTTATCTGGGTCAGTGTGGTTCTGTTGTCTTATTTTTTTTTTCCTGATCCACGCGATTTTAGTCGGACTCTCGGGAAACGGTTACCGAAGAAATACGTTCATCAGCCTTCATTTATTCGGCGATAAAAGGGAGGGAATAGAAGTTCGTCGAGGATAAGGTCTCTGCTCATCAATTAATAATTTGCAAATTTTTTATTATTCCCCCGAACGTTGGTTCTTTTTTGCTCTGTCCATGTTCAAATTTAGGGGCAGTGCATCGAATAAGTAATGAGGCACATAAAAATTCGGTAGAGAAAGCGCATTGATGATGTTAAGTTTAAGCGAATGCACCAAAGTGTTTGAATATTAAAGACTTCTTACAACTTGAAAATTGTACAGCTTTCAAGGGATGGATTAAGCTCTCATTCAGCTGTTTAGATTTAAAATCCGAAAATCTTTTCATTACTCTTACCTCATTAAATAATGAATCTGCGATTAAAAGACGATAGTTAAGTCACACAATAATAGTTAATGAGTCCATATAAGCAACACTTGATTGTGCCAATTTAAGTCGTAAATAATTATAACCATTAAAAAAAGGGAAGAAATAAAAATGTTACGAGCTTCTAAAGTGCAATAATTGCACAAATAAGCCTCGCATTGCTTTTACACAAAAAATAAACCTTGCAAGTGGTAAATCTGAAGAATTGAGAATATTTTCATACTCTCATAGTCTTCTGGAAGAGGATTGGAGAGGTTCGAAAAACAGAGGGAATAAGATATTTTACTTAACTCCCCAGAGACCGAAGAGGGTGACAGGGGGGCAGGAGTTCACTGACAAAATAAGTTTTGAGCATACCCTACATACATTTTTAAAGGCTGCTGACTGCTGAGTCAAATAAGAAAATTTATTTGCTGAAATTCAACTACAAGCGCAAAATTGGCCGTTTTTTTTCCTCGTATAATTTACTTCTCATGATGTTCTCAAAAACATATTCAAAGGAAAGGAGCAATCACTTTTGCACTCTTAACTAATTACAGCTAATGCATCGAAAAATTAGCTGTTTTTGCGGAAAAAACACGAGGAGAAGACTCAACTTTGCACACCCAGTAGTGTGACACTCTGAGTTTGTCTTGCTATTAAAAATTCAAATTTGCCAAGTAAAGAGTTTATTTGCGCAGTTAAAATTATTGAAACATTTTATGGGAAAAACAGGAGCTTATGAGCACTTATTCTTTTATTAATTTTTCTCCAGGCACGAGGCTCAACTCAATCCGGACGTTAAAACGTTTATGAAGACATGTCAAAAGAAAAAAAAAACTTTTTGTTTGCAATACAAGTTGCCGCGGGCGGCGGTCAGAACATGCAAAAAAACGGGAGAACTTTGTATCGCGTGCGCGACTCTCTTCCCCATCCCCAGCTCCAGATCCAGAATCCGTGGGCAGGTTCGTCCGACGGGCCGCCGCCGATCGCCAATGCGTGACATTTATTGTTTTTTAGTGTCGGGAGCGAGCTTGCAGTGTGTGCGGAATGTCCGAGGAGTGTCTAACTAGTGGCCAACTAATGACCAAATAGTGAGCGACCGGTAGGCCATCGAGCAGACGCGGCGACCAACTCCACACTCCGTGGCAACGGCCAGTCGGATCTCCTTTAATAATAGAACTCCACACGAAGCCCTGATGCCAATTTTGCATAATGGGCCTCTTGCGAACTTTAGCCAGAACTAGAAAAAGGAGTTGCTGTTGTCTAAGTAAAACATGATTAGATTTCATCTGTGAAAAGTTAATATTAATACTATTAATTACAATTATAGATTCATTATAAATTTTAACAAAAATTAACCGTTTATCTTTACCTAATGAGGGCTATTTAAATTTTGATATCGTTATGGTGGTTTAATTTAATGTTGTTATTCTGGGTAAGGTGGTTAGCTATTCCAACCAAATTTTCAAAATTGAGATGAGCATATCTAGAGAAAGGCTGAAATCCACTCCTATAACTTTGCGATTGCGTGAGAAATTTGAAAATTTTCCAACCTCCCGCTTCTAAAAGTCTATATTTGAGGAGCTTGGAGGACAAAGCACATAAGTGCAGTTTTTGAAAAATTGTGATATTCATGAACTCAACAAAAACTAGTTTCAAAGTATATTCTATGAAAAATTCACAGCTAAAATCCAGCTTTAAGAATGAAAAAGTGAGTTTAAACTTCCTTCCTACCATAATTCTTAAAATAGCAAAAACTGCACTTATGCGCCTTGTCCTCCAAGCCCCTCATTTAGCCAAAAATTTCATTTTACACAGATGAGCCACCCCAGTTTTACAATACCACTTGCAACTCCAAATGACCACCGTCATATGGTGCAATTTCTTCAAAATAAAAAGCAAACACCATAAAATCGCAACTTTCCCCGCAGCGTTCCAAATTCTTGTCGGAGGTGTCAAAAAACGCAAAGTTTTTTTTACGAAGATTGTGAACCTGGGTAATTTGTAATCCATTATTCTAAAAAAAAACTATTCTTTCCTCTCTCCATATTAGCATTAGTTTGCAACAGACTCATTCGGAAAAGCTTTTCCCACGTTCCAAACAGGTAATTTATGATCTGGATGACTTCATGGATCATAATTATGAGTACCAACTTGTGTCTTTCAAAAAGTATCCTTTCAGAGATGTTAACTTTTAAACACGTTCCGAATTCTTGTCATAGGTGTCAGAAATATAACTAACTTGTGAAACTCTAAATATTTAATTACAATTTTTTGGTTTCAAATATAGGATGAGGTATAATACACGCAATGATAGCGAGCAGCAGGGATATTTATTACCCGATTTGCTCAATTCAGAAGAGTGCGAAGCGTCAATTATTGAAAATGTGGACTGTAAAACTCCCAATAAACCAGGTATCTCGGTTTGCGACGTTGCAAACTTCCTGTCATACTCTATTTTTAAAAGAAAAACTACTCAACGTTCATTCTTTAAAATTTCCGTGATTTTCCTGTTCTTTGCGAGGAA